CCTCTGGGGTTGCCGTGCCACTCGGCTTTGGCCCGGCCCCCCTGATAAGTGCCACTCATTCATATTTGGCCCAGTTGGCCCTGTGTCATCACGATGGAGGGGTGGCTGGGTCAAACCTGAGTGGTGCCAGGACGCAGTGCACCTGGTCGCAATGCCCAGAGCGGGGAGCTGAGCCCTGCAGGACCAGAGCTGCAGGAGCCGCTGCTGGAGGGGGCTCTGCAACACCCCCCAGGGCCTCCCACGTGACCCTTTGACACACCCTGGTGACCCAGTTTTAACTCATGACCCAGGGGTTGAGAAACTCTGATCTAGTCCATCCCCCTGCATCGAGGCGGGATTAAGTATCCCTAGACAATCCCTGATAGACGGTACCGTCGGGCAACCTGCGGCCAACCCCAACCAACAGGAGTTTTAGTCTTCACTAGCTGGGGCTTTGTTCTTCGAGCCCTTGCTTGAAATGAGTCACAGTCGTGTCATTTGGAAAACTTCTCCCAATATGCAGGTGAGAGTCTGACAGGGGTGTCACAGGAGGAGGTGGCTCTTTCAGGGAGCTAGTTGGGCTTATTTCACCTGTGCGCAGTGAGCCCGCCTCCCAGGGGCGGGGGATGCGAGTCCAAGATCTGCTGAAGCTGTGCCCAATGTCCTTAAGGGGGCCTGCGTACCATGTGACAAGTGGCCACCTGAAGACCATGTGACTTGTTAACTCTCCATGGAGTCAAGGCACCATTTTCCATCTCAGGCAGATACTGGTTTCTAAGGCCTGGTCTACACTATGCGGTTAGGTTGACATAAGCTGCCTCGCATTGACCTAACTGTGGAAGTGTCTTCACTTAAGAATGGCCACACTAGGTCAGACCAAAAGTCCATCTAGCCCAGTATCTTGTCTTTCGACAGTGGCCAGTGCCAGGTGCCCCAGAGGGAATGAACAGAACAGGCAATTATCGAGCGTTCCATCCCCTGTCGCCCATTCCCAGCTTCTGGCAAACAGAGGCTAGGGACACCATCACTGCCCATCCTGTCTAATAGCCATTGATGGACCTATCCTCCGTGAACTTATCTAGTTCTTTTTTGAACCCTGTTATAGTCTTGGCCTTCACAACATCCTCTGGCAAGGAGTTCCACAGGGTGACTGCGTTGTGTGAAGAAATACTTCCCTTTGTTTGTTTTAAACTTGCTGCCTATTAACTTCATTGGGTGACCCCTAGTTCTTGTGTCACGTGAAGGGGTAAATAACACTTCCTTATTCACTTTCTCCGCACCAGTCATGATTTTATAGACCTCTATCCTATCCCCCCTTAGCCGTCTTTTTCCAAGCTGAAAAGTCCCAGTCATATTAATCTCTCCTGCTGATGTAAGCGCCTCTCTATGCCGACTTAATAACCCCACCTCCCCAAGCAGCACAGAGTCATGGTGGATGTCATTAGGTCGACGCAGTGTCAGTGTAGACGTCGCGTTGCTTACAGCGACTTTCAGGAGCTGTCCCACAATGCCTCACACTGACAGTACAACCGATACAAGCGCGACTGGCGAGGATGCGCACCGTTGACACAAGGCGCCAAGCACGCAGACACACAAGCGATTTAGTAACCGCGGTGGCTGTGTGCTGACGTACATTAAGTCGACATAATTTTGTAGTGTGGACATGGCCTAACCTTTGTCAATTTCACGGCTGGGTGAAAGGAGCCAGAGTGACAGCCCTGGAGCCCGAAGGCTTCTACTTTTCAGCTGTAGAGCAAGCGTCTCCCGCGGTCAGCATGCCTCAGCCGGGACCCGGAGGGAGGGGCTGAATTCCTGGGCATATCTCCGGGTCTCCCTGCCCCGCAGCTGGGGCTGCCAATGACAGGGCAATCTGTGAGCAGGATTTCTGGGATAGGGTGTGACGTTATGAGTGTAATATAATATCTCATTGAAAGGTGACATGGGGCCAGAAAGAGTTAATTAACTCTCAGACTGACCTGACCCATGGCCGAACTTTAAAGACTGGTTAGGAAGATATGTAAATGAATAGAGCTTTGAAATGCAAGTCTGCATTGTGAGAGATAGAAGGGGAGATGTTTGCTCAGGTCTTGTGATGTCAGCAAACAAGTCTTGTCTATTGCTATAGCTTTGATTCAAAGATCAAAAAAGGAGTATTAACATTTAGGAAGACACTTGAGTGAAACAGTATTATTGTCTCTATGTCTCTTTGAAGGTCATGATAAACTGCATATGAACTGTTTAATGAACAAATTACACTATGCTAATTGCCAGGGTGTTTGACAGACAAAAGATTAAGCTTATCCTCTCAGCCAAGAGGCTGCTGGAAAATGTATAAAAACCCTGGGACACTGTAGCGAGGCGGTCTGGTTCCCCGGCGCCCCGGAGAGGGACGAATCCCTCTGGATGCCAAAGTGGGTGGAGCCAGTGGAGCTTGCGCCCGCCCCCCAGAGGTCAGGGCGCAGGACAGGAGGTACAAAAGCCCAACCCCAGAGCTCACTAGAGCCCCGGCCGCGGGAGAAGCCGGGCCTTGCTCCCGGTGGGGAGACTCCTGCAGTCTGTGATCGACCCGTGGACTGGCCAGGCCAGCCGAGGCCTGATGCCGACCAGACCCCGGGGAAGCTGTTAAGCCTGCCTGTGGCAAGCTACCCAGAGGAGCTGCCAAGCCTGCCGCTCGCCGAGTACGCTGAGGAGCCCAGGGTGCTTGATTCCGTGGAGGACACCGACCAGACGCAGGTACCTCTAGAGGGGGAGGTAGGAAGTAGCCCGGGGGCAGCCGACCCTAGTCTGGCTGCAGCACACCCAGGGCAAATGTCAGTGTGTTGCGGCCAGGATCCCCACTGACACAGCAGCAGGTCATCTGCCGCTGTTAGGGCCCCGGGCTGGGACGCAGTGGAGTGGGTGGGCCTGCGTCCACCCTGACACCCAATGTGTGGGTGGCCGTCTCCGCCTCTCCTCAGACCCTTCGAAGCCAGGGCCTACGCCTCCTGAACTCATTTGTTTGCTCAGCCCCTGCATAAGGGCCTGAGCCATAGACTCTCTACTGCCCCGCCCTGACCCAGGGCTAGGGCCTGCGTTAAAACGGTTTGCTCAGCCCCTGCATAAGGACCTGAGCCAGAGACTCTCGACTGCCCCGCCCTGAACTAGGGTCTGGGTCTGCGGAATAGAGCTGTTTGTTGGTCTCTACCATTGCCGCGGCGTGAAACCCTGCGGCCAGGGTAGTTCCCCGAAATAATCCAACGGACGTAGAGAGGCGGTCTGGTTTCCCGCCGCCCCGGAGAGGGCCGAACCCTTCTAGAGACACCATCCTGTTTTATCTCAGATCTGCTTTGGGTTTCAAGAAGGGGAAACCCTAAGCCATAAGGATTGAGATCCCCAGTCACTGACTGGAGTCACCCTGAATATGGACATTGGACTATAACCTATGAACTATTTCTAAATGGACTTTTGGCAACTACAAGCTCACCTCTGCTATGTGTCTGAACCTCAAGAACTGAATTCAAGTCTGTCTGTATATTGATCTTTTAACCAACACTCGCTCTCTTTTCTTTTTTAATAAATTTTAGTTTAGTTAGCAAGAATTGGCTATAAGCGTGTATTTTGGGTAAGATCTAAGTTATAATTGGACCTGTGTGTGTGGCTGATCCTTGGGGGTTGGAAGAACCTTTTCTTTTATATGAGGAGATAAGATTCTCAGTAATCATCATCATACCTGACAGGTGTGTGTGGGCGGAGGCCTGAGGCTGGGCACTTTAAGGGAACTGCGTTGTTTGGATTTCTGAGTAACCAGTGAGGTACTAGAGAAGCTGTTTTGTGCTGTCTTGGTGAATCTAAGGATTGGAATATCCACCCGCGTTTGGGGTTTGTCTGCCCCGTTCTGTTTGCAGTTCACCCTGATTGAGTGACCTCAGCTGGCTCCCACGGGCAGCATTGTCACAAGGGGCATCTTTCCAGCGGGCACCAGAGGGAGAAGGGAAACAGGAAGATGACAGCAGGAGCTGGGGAGTTCGGGAGCACTGAGATCCAGAAATACCTGGGAACGTACAAAGGCTTAGCCTAAAAAATAAAGAGCCTAAAAGCTGTAGCCTGCAGGCTAGTACTCAAACAACCCAACGCATGTTAAACTATCAGCGTGCTGGAAACCAGCAGCCCTGCTCTCTCCAGCGGAAGCAGGAGCCTGTCCGGTGCTTGGAGCAGTGGACTGAGAGTCAGGACTCCCGTGTTCGATTTCTGACTTGCTATATGACAGAGGAGTCACTTTACCAATCTGTGCCTAGTTTACCAGCCTAGGAAACTGGGACTAACCCCACTTTGCAGGGTGCTGAGAGGATTACAGAGGGACAGTAAATAGCTCGGAGATCTTGGAGGAAAGGCTTACAGCTGTGCTAAGTATTATAATGTAAAACCAGTGTGGCTTATACTGCCCTCTGCTGGTGTGTATTAATAATGAATTCCTTTCCAGTTTGCTTGCAAGACCAGATGTTTCACTCTTCCACGAAACACGAGCTCCCAGCCCGCAAGGCAACCAAGAAACCAGAGTCCAGATTCCAACGCAGGCGCTCCACCAACCAAGTGTACCGGGTTAGGGAAAGCAGTGTCACAAAAGAGGCCTTAACCAGCTACTTGGGGATTGGTCCTGCTTTGAGCAGGGGGTTGGACTAGATGACCTCCTGAGGTCCCTTCCAACCCTGAGATTCTATGATTCTATGTTACTGGTTTTGGTTCCAACTCTAACTCGGGCACATGTTTTAGGAGAAGCAAGTAGGAAATCAAAGCCTTCAGACCTGCCCGTGTGCAGATAAATGCTCAATTCGTTTTGGTTAACTGGCCCATCACATGTTTTTCAGTCATCACCTTTCCCTTCGGTCTGTTTCACCCCATAAAGTCGCGCCGACATCCTGCCCCGTAGTGGCGCTTTCATGCTCACAAGATACGTCTGTATCTCCACTCTCCACCCCCAGCTGCGTGCCCCCAGCCCACCCAAGAGAAGAGCAGTGACAGTAGAGAAGGGAAGGTTACTGTACCTCGGGACTTACTGTGTGTTTCTTAGTCATCCGCCACAGAATGCAAGTCAGGAGCATGTGACCCAGGGCCGAGGTGATAAAGAGGATGAAGGAATTTTCGTGGATTGCTGCATTGACAAGACAACAGGTTTCTCATTAATGCTGAGCATGGAAATAAGCCAAAGGGAGCTGCCTGAGGAATGCTGGGGAGGCCACGGCAAGGAGAAGGCAGCGTGCATTATAAGGCCCCTGCCGGGAGGCTTGGAGGAGCTGGGTCAATACCGCCTAATAGTGACCCGGGACCCAAAGCTCCGGGGCTCTATTCATGGTGCTGCCACTAACAAGCCAAGGAACCAGGGGCCAGCCATGCGACGTCACTCCATTGCCTTTTTGGGGAGTGCTCGCAGTGTGCACAGAGGAGGAAGGACAGCACCCTCCCGGGCTTAGAATCTCGTCAGTGGCTACACGGGGGCGGGGCCTAATCTGAGCACAGGCGTCTGTGACAGCACAGCTGAGTGGCCCCCATTCCTATGCAAAGGAGGCGGGGCAGGGAGGTTTGAGAAGGAGACTGCTTGGCGGTGTCATTGTCCCCATATATAGCAGGGACAATGTCACTCCCCTCCTGGCAGGGGGAATGGGAGGCCGTACCCGGGCACAAAGCACATTCACAGCCTGAACTGGAAGGTGCCAGACGAGGCCGAAGGGTCATTACTGGATGACTGTCGTGCAGCTTTGCATTTAGTCTGACATGCTTTACAGACACGCAAGCCTGGAAAACAGGTCAGTGTCCTTATCTCCATTCTACATATGGGGAAACTGAGGCACAGAGACGTTAGGTCACTTCCACAGTGAGTCAGTGGCAGAACTAGGAAGAGATGCCTGGACTCCGGGCTCCCAGCCCCTTGATCTAACCACCAGACAGACAATATAATATATATGGAGATATACCTATCTCACAGAACTGGAAGGGACCCTGAGAGGTCATCGAGTCCAGCCCCCTGCCTTCACTAGCAGGACCAAGTACTGATTTTGCCCCAGATCCCTAAGTGGCCCCCTCAGGGATTGAACTCACAACCCTGGGTTTAGCAGGCCAATGCTCAAACCACTGAGCCATTATTATTCTGATTAATAATAGCGAGACTCTCTCTGGGTCACTGACTGCACATAGATTCCGAGTCAGGACAGAGACGTAACCTTTGACCTCTTTAGAGGAACGTTGCCAATTCGGGCAGAGGAACTAAAGGCGTTCTCACCCCCATTAGCAAAGCCCGTGAGAATCGGGGTGGGTCATTTTAAAATAAATGGTTCAAATTAAGAAAAAAAAATCCCAACCCTTTCCCCACAAACTCATCCACCAAGCAGCATCCGCAGCCTTGCACTTACAAGCAACCCTACAATAACAAAATGAACATGGGTGTCTTATTTCAGGGTAAAAGAAGCCCGGCAGGGAGTGGTGATAAACAGCAACTTCATCGTGAAAAATAACCTTGGCGATCCCTTGCCAGAGACTGTCAAATGAAGCCTGTTTCCCTTTCAGTAGAAAGGAGGGAGTTGGTCAATGCTATGGTCGTCAGCCCATAATAATGGGGCTGGGAGAACTGGTAAGAACTTCAGTCTGTACCCGAAGCTTGCTCACACATGCCAATATGCTCCAAGGACTTCCAGTCCAATACTCACAATGCACTCTGGGCCAAAGCTGGTGGGCAAGCCACAGAGAACGTAAGATTTGGGGGGGAATGTCTGGCCTGGGGTTCTGTAGCGGATGGAGACAGACTGGGCCCTCGAGGGAATCTTTTAATGTGGTGGGCGAGTCTGTTCGGAAGGTTACTGGTGGCACGTTCAGCCGCATGGAAGCCTCAAGGAAGCAAATGCATCAATGCACTTTGGGGCACCAGAACCCATCTATGAGTCATTGAACTCATAAGAACATAAGAACGGCCATACTGGGTCAGACCAAAGGTCCATCTAGCCCAGTATCCTGTCTTCCAACAGTGGCCAGTGGATGTTGACAAACAGACACCCGATCTGGGGACCAGTCCCATCCGGAGCCTCACAGCACCTGCCTGATTCACTGTGGTGTTACTCCAATTTAATGCCATTCTCCAAGGGGTTATGCTGGTGAACGCCATTCCAGAAGGATGTTATCAATGAAAGAGAAGTCAGAAAAAAGCCTCAAGAATGATTCAAAGGTTAGAAACCCTGCCGCCTAGAACATAAGAACATAAGAACGGCCGTACCGGGTCAGACCAAAGGTCCATCCAGCCCAGTATCCTGTCTACCGACAGTGGCCAATGCCAGGTGCCCCAGAGAGAGTGAACCTAACAGGTAATTATCAAGTGATCTCTCTCCTGCCATCCATCTCCACCCTCTGACAAACAGAGGCTAGGGACCATTCCTTACCCATCCTGGCTAATAGCCATTAATGGACTTAACCTCCATGAATTTATCCAGTTCTCTTTTAAACCCTGTTGTAGTCCTAGACTTCACAACCTCCTCAGGCAAGGAGTTCCACAGATTGACTAAACTCTTTGGGGCATTTGCCAGTCCCAGTGCCTTGAGGACCAGACACTGGATTGAGAAGTCGAGGAGGGTGTTCTAGGGAACAGCACAGTTGACGTCAGAGTGGCTAGTCAGTTCTGCTCCTGCTTGCCCCAGGATAACCGCACATTAGTGAAGATCAGGGAGGGGCACATTCAGACCCATTCTCACTCCTTTACACCTTCTTTCTCAACCACGTTTCCCCAAACTTGGCAAATTCCCTGCTCCCCATTTCAGGAACTCGCCAGCTTGGAAGGTCTAAATCTAAATAGCTTCCTTCCCGTCCTTGGAAGAGCCGCACAGCGAACAGGGCTAGCATGACAAGCCCTGTATCCAGTGACCAAGAGCTACAGCAGTGCGAGCTTCCTCTTCATCATCCACGTAACGCACATCACACTTGGCCTGCGCAGGGCACCTGTAGGTTTGCGAGGGGCGTTCAGCTTCCAGGGCCCACTCAGGCCTTGGCCCTCTGCAGAGGCTTCCAGCAAGAGGGCCAAGTAACGCCTCCTTTTGGAGGTGGTTTGTTACCTGGGTCCTTTCCCACAATGCACTGCACCGAGATCCATCCAACCCATTTCAGATAGGCCGCCTAACAGCCATCAGGAGGTAACGACTTTCAGTCACTGCCACCTGGGGCTAGATTCAGACTTAGGACCTAGGGATGACATAAATAGGCTCATTGCAATATTTCAGCAGTTGGTTTGCAAATGCCAACTCATTACCCCTTATGCTGAACAATGTATCCCAACTCATATTTAGCTCACATGCTCCGATTTCCTTCCCCAGACCTGGAAAAGAGCTTTGTGTAGCTCAAAAGCGTGTATCTTCCACCAACAGGACATTAGAAAGGCCACACTGGGTCCATCTAGCCCAGTATCCTGTCTTCTGACAGTGGCCAAAGCCAGGTGCCCCAGAGGGAATGAACAGAACAGGGAATCATCAAGTGATCCATCCCCTGTCACCTATTCCCAGAGTCTGGCAAACAGCAGTTAGGGACACCATCCCTGTCCATCTTGGATAAAAGCCATCAATGGACCTTTCCTCCATGAACAGATCTAATTCTTTTTTGAACCCTGTTATAGTCTTGGCCTTCACAGCATCCTCTGGCAAAGAGTTCACAGGTAGACTGTGCATTGTGTGAAGTTGGTACAGTAAAAGCTATTACCACAACTACTTTGTCCTTTTTGTATCCTGGGACTAACCTGGCTACAACACTGCAAACAAATACATTGATGCAACAGATGGTGATTTCCTGCAATATCCTGGACAAATCGTAGCAAATTAAGTTTAAATATCTTAGGAGTTCATCGTATTAAAAATGGGGAAATGTTTATGTCTTCTTGGGAGATTGTGTGTAACATCTCTTGGGAGGAGACCTGACTAATGTAAACCCTGAGAAGTGTTATGAGCTTCAAAGGACTAATTGAAAATGATGTGAAGTTTGAAAGTTACATGGGTTTCCCAGGAACTCTCTAGGGGGAGGTGTTTGCAAACGAATTCCCTCTGGTTCCGCAGGAATGCAGCCTTCTGAAGCTGCGCCTGTTCCATGAGGACACATCAAAGACCCAAGGGTATGCAGAAGTGACTCAGATTCCGGGGGGTGCTTGTTCGGAGCTAACAGCTGTAAAGAACTTGTGAGCACAGAAAACCATCTTGATGCTTTGAAGGACGGACCACCTGCCAGAGCCCTTGCTGGAGCTGGGGTGATCTCTGGAGAGCTTATTAGCAAGCGGTCTGCCTCGCTGGGGAATTCACAGCATAGGCAGGGAGCTGGAAATGCCCTGGTCAGGAGGGAGAGAGAAGCAGGTCTCCACCCCAGAGGGGTGATGGCTGGGGAGCTGGAAGCCTGAGAGGGGATGCCCGTGCTGGATCACGAAGGGGGAAATACAGGTGAACCATGACAGCTGGCATTAAAAATGCCAAGTGCCTAGAATGGACGCGTCTGGGCCTGACTCAGTGAGGGGGTGAACGGGGTGCCAGGCTAGCGCAGCAAGGGACAAGGCCCTGTAACTAGCACCAACCTGGCAACGAGTGGGTGAGCAGAACCAGAGTTCCTGGCATACTGGCAGAGGGCATGTGTAGAAAGACAAGCGACAAGCTGAGAGACACTGAGCGCTTAAAAGGTACTACATCTCCCACCCTCCTGAGCTGTTTTTCCTGCACCCTGACGGGATGGCGTAGCAAGACGCTGCCTTTTCACACACCCACTCGATGCCAAGCCAGGGCACAGGTTGCCCTGTTCTACCACTTGTACCTGCTGGGAAATCCTGGCCCCACTGGAAATCAATATGAAATGACCCATTGAGTTCAGTGGGGTGCGGGTTGCCTCCCTGACGTGTAATCATCCGTTTTCCTCCCCACTACACGGGATGTCTACGGCCAAGTGCCAACTGGCCACTGAGCCTTCCTGGCAACATCACCAGTCCCCAGCAAACTGAGGCTGGGACCTCATCCCCACCAAGTCAAAGCACCAGAGACAGCTCCACCCGGATCTGACTCCCAGCAAGCCAGCTGCTCTCTGCCTCCCTGGCCCTGCTGCTGTGCCTGAGAGCCCAGCTTGCTGAGAGTCGCTGCATCATCGGAAAGTTGCCTGTACAGAAACGGCACCTTCTTCCCACATGCACTCGGTGAAACCCGCTTTCCGTCCTCCTGCTTCCACTGCCATGCGCAGGCAGCTATGCCACAGTACGTCCCATTCCAGTCTGGGTCACTCACCACCACAACTAGCTTCCAAACGCCGGCCACCTACACCTGTTTGACCCAGTTGGAAGCAATGGGCCGTTTTCACTGGCGGAACTCCACTGAAGTCACCAGGGATGAACTGGGCCCACCGGGTTATCACAAGTGTAACCGAGGCCTGAATTTGACTTGCAGAATCTTTATGCCTGGAGCGAACATGCAAGTCAGAAAGAACTCAGCTTGTCTCTCCGATCCCAGGCTGGCAGCTAGAAAAACGGACACAAACAAATGCTAGACACACAAAGGCCCATTGTGCCATTCTTACAGGGTTGTCATTCAGACTAGAACAGCACTGGTCTGTCTCTACACCTGAAAATTAACCCACGCTAACCAAACCGAGTTACCCAACCGCAAACATTTTTACCCAGTTGCAAACAGATGGGAGAAGCGCATCTCCTAGCCCACCATGCACAGATACCCCCCCCCCACACACACACACAAAATGGCCACACAGTTTGCTTTAACTAAAAATCAAGAACTTCACCATCCATAAGAACGGCCATACTGGGTCAGACCAAGGGTCCATCTAGCCCAGTATCCTGTCTTCCGACAGTGGCCAGTGCCAGGTGCCCCAGGGGGAATGAACAGAACAGGTCATCATCAAGTGATCCATCCCCTATCGCCCATTCCCAGCTTCTGGCAAACAGAGGCTAGGGACACCATCCCTGCCCATCCTGGCTAATAGCCATTGATGGACCTATCCTCCATGAACTTATCTAGTTCTTTTTTGAATTCTGTTAGTCTTGGCCTTCACAACATCCTCTGGCAAAGAGTTCCACAGATTGACTGTGCATTGTGTGAAAAAATACTTCCTTTTGTTTGTTTTAAACCTGCTACCTATTAATTTCATTTGGTGACCCCTAGTTCTTGTGCTATGAGAAGGAATAAATAACACTTCCCTATTTAATTTCTCTACCCCAGTCATGATTTTATAGACTTCAATCATATCCCCCTTTACTCGTCTTTTTTCCAAGCTGAAAAATCCAAGTTTTATTAATCTCTCCTCATACAGATGCTGTTCCATACGTCTAACAATTTTTGTTGCCCTTTTCTAAACCTTTTCCAATTCCAATATATCTTTTTTGAGATGGGGCGACCACATCTGCACGCAGTATTCAAGATGTGGGGGTACAATGGATTTATACAGAGGCAATATGATATTTTCTGTCTTACTATCTATCCCTTTCTTAATGATTCCCAACATTCTGTTGGCTTTTTTGACTGCTGCTGCACACTGAGTGGATGTTTTCAGAGAACTATCCACAATGACTCCAACATCTCTTTCTTGAGTGGTAACAGCTAATTTAGATCCCATCCGTTTATTTGTATAGTTGGGATTATGATTTCCCACGTGCATTACTTTGCATTGAATGTCATCTGCCATTCTGTTGCCCAGTCACCCAGTTTTGAGAGATCCTTCTGTAGCTCACCGCAATCTGCCTGGGACTAAACTATCTTGAGTAGTTTTGTATCATCTGCAAATTTTGCCACCTCACTGTTTACCCCTTTTTCCGGATCATTTATGAATATGTTGAACAGGACTAGGCCCAGTACAGATCCCAGGGGGACACCACTATTTACCTCTCTCCATTCTGAAAACTGACCATTTATTCCTACCCTTTGTTTCCTGCCTTTTAACCAGTTACCAATCCATGAGAGGACCTTCCTTGAGACGAAACACAGGAAATTATCGGAGATAAAGTTATAAGCAACTAAAGGAGGAGTTCGAATGGAAGCCAGACTCAACCCAAACTGTAGTGCTTCTTATTGCAATGGGGCAAAGCAGCAGAGAGGGACACACTGTCTGAGTGCCTGACTTTGAGCGAAGAAGTCCTAAATTCCAATTCCAGCTCTAACGCTGACTTCTTCTGTGATCTTGGCCATGTCGCGTCCCTACCATGAGGATCAATTAGTTAACGCTTGCTACATACAAATCCCAGGTACTTTTATTAATACAGGGACCATGGATTTTAATGGAATGTGTGTATTTGCATTGATTTTTCTCCTGAACCGATGATCCCAAAAATAAGCACTAAAAAAACCCAACACTCCTGTAATTAAGTGACTCATGACTGTGCAGAACCCCAGTTGTTACGACCCAGAGAATCAGCACAGCAGACTGTAGAAACCTACCATAGTTTTCCGAGGAAGACACGTACGTCAGCAAAAGGAGGGCGACGTTTTCGAGCACGTTGAGGGTGAAGTTGATGCGGCAGAGCCGTGGGTAGCGAGGGTGCACGCAGTGACAGCTGTGGTAATGGTTCCAGTACGCGATGGCCACCAGGAAGCGGGGCGCGGAGTGGAGGCCAATGCAGAGACGCCACACGTAGCGCTGAGGGGTCTCGCTGCCAATCGCGGCGCTGATGGAGGGGAGGTAATTGGGGACCTGGGAGAAAAAGGAGAGCTTGTTGAAGAGGCATTGGGATTTTGTATTAGAATAGGTCACATTTACAGCTCTCTAAGATGTTGGAGTGCTTAATAAGGGCAAGTTCTATCCCTAGCTCCCAGATCAGGAAATTGAGGCACAGAGAAGGAGAGTAACTTGCTTAAGTTCACACAACACCTATTGAGTTCGGGGGAAGCCAGGAATAAAACACAGAACTCCCGATGCCCAGGTCTCCTACTCTACTCACTAGACAACTCTGCCGTTCTTTGAGAAATCACGTCTTTAACAGATTTTGCTCTCAGGGTCTAGTGGGTCCCTTTAAGTTTCTACCAAGCTGCAGGCACATACACCGCAGTGAGTAGCTGTCGTTTCCTGGAAGTGGAACAGCAGAGACCAGATCACGCAGAAAAGGAATCCAAACAGCGGGCAACACACGGTCCCGACAGCCAGGGTGGTAAAGCGGAGCCGGAAGAGGATCCCATCTCGATCCAGAGGCAATGGCACCTCAAACATGTTGCTGGACCTGAAAGCAAGAAGCAACTATTTGAAGAATGTCCCTTAGACTACTGCAACATTCAGCTCCAAGAGCACTTCAGCGGGTAAAATGCATACAACTGTAATAGGTTGTTAGCCAATACATATAGGTTGTACTGTGACACTGAGCCAGAAAGGGTTAAGCAACCAGCTGGCTAAAGTGACCCAGATCAACCTTTAAGAACATATTAGAGAAGTACTGAAATGGTAAACAGGGCCATTTTTTGTAGATAATTATCAAAGCCATGTAAGTGGACTAAATCCTTTGAAATGCAAACTGATATTGTCAGATAATTAGAAGTAAATACTAATTGTCTTTGTCAGAGTTAAACTGTTAGGAGTTTAACAGCGTGATCTAATTAGCACGTGGAAGCTAAACATCAGTTCCTGTCTGCAATATTTTGTGACTATACTCTGTTCATACAGAGATCAAAAGGGAATATTAGCAATTAGATGAAACGTGGTGTAATATCATTGTCTTTATTTCTCTTTGAAGTTTGTAGCAAACTACCTGTGAAACTTTGAATGGTCAATTGCTTTATGCTAATCAATGAAACTAATTACCTGTGTATACATAGGAAATAGGAAATGACTTCAAAGCAACAATGTATATTACCTATTCTTCCTCCAAGGAAGGTCTGCTGTATTATCTGCTGTCAAGAGGCTATTGTAACTTGCCAGAGATCTATAAAAGAACTCTAGGATCCTGTCGTCTCATATCTGCTTAAACTTTGTCAGGGGAAGTTCAAGCTGCAAGATTGAGGTCTTCAGGTACCCTGGACTGTCCCTGCAAAGTCTTATGAAGGATCTGAACCAATTCTATACACGGACTGCCTATTGGACTATAGACTATGGAATTAATTCTGGAAGAACTTTCTACAAAGGCAGCTCACCATCTCTACTATGAAACTGACCTAAGAACGTTACTCATATCTGTATGTATAATGATCTTTAACCACAATAACTTTCTTTTCTTTTTTAATAAATCTAAGTTTAGTTAATAAGAATTGGTTGTAAGCATGTATTTGGATAAGATCTGAAATATTCACTGACCTGCCGGGTAATGTGTCCGATCTCTTGGGGTGGTAGAACTTTATATATAGTGAAAAAGATTTTAAGTAATCCTTACTACATTTGACTTGGCTGTCTGGGTGGGAGTTCAGGCGGAATTGCTTAAGGGGAACTGTATTTTTGGGCTTCTTGGTAACCAGTAAGGTAATATAGAAGCTGTTTTGTTACTGTCTGGGTAAATCTAATTATAGGAAGGACCACCACTTTTGGGGAATGCCTGCCCATTCTTTGCAGTTTGCCCTGATGAAGCACTCTCGGTGAGGCCTCTCCAGGCATTATGGTCATATATACACACACTCTCCCCCACGCCCCCCATATTAATAGGTATTATATGCATGGTATTAATCTAATATGTATGTGTTCGGTAATCATGCTAAATTGTACTATGCCTATTCTTGCTCACACATGCTAAGGCATATATCTCTCAATGCCCCGGGACAAATATAGGGTGGCACTGGGCTTCGACAAATACAAGAACTGCCAAAAGCTAGACATACAAGTGTTATGAACCAAAGAAGCAACGTGGTGCAAGGAAATAACGTAAGAAATGTGAATGTTTTGCACTAGGGCGTATCTTCATGCCCCTTTATGTTTGGAACTTAATATTCAAAACCAAAGATGGGGAAGTACAGGGAGGCACCAAAGATGAAGCTGGCTAATTAAACGTGAAGTGACGTGAGGAGCGCTGTGACGTGTAAACAGCCATGCTATCAAAGATGGCTAGTTTAAGGGGGCTTTGGGAAGCACACCATCTGTATAAGGTGAACTGAACATGCTGTGAGAATTTGCTTCCTGGGAAGGACTGGTGTGGTACTCTTTCTTTCCTATACTGTACTGCTTTGTCTTTAGCCAATGAATCTGGTTGAGCTTGGTTATTTGTTCTCTCAGTCTCAGTGTGGAATGGCAAGTATAGTCAATTAGCTGGCTAGACTGGTAGTCAATAAGGTATAAGTGATGGCTACAACCGACAGATTCTGGCAGCTCAAATCAGCTCAGACTGGGCAGGTGGGCAAAGTTGCACAGGGGTCAGTGGAAGAGCCTTTCACCCCTGGAATCCTGCATTCAAATCCTGCATATACCCAGGGCTGGTCCTTAAATACAAACAATATGAACAATTGCTTGGATCTCCATACTCAGCGACTCATCGTTTAAGGCTCCCCTATGGCAGCTGGGGTGAGAAAGCTACACCTAGACTGATTCAGGTACAAGTTCCCCCTTCTAGGGCCAGCGCCAGGAAGGGATTGCAAATGGGTCATGCAAGCCTATGGCCTAAACCCAAGCGCTGTGCACCCATCATTCCCACTGAAGACAATGGGAGTTACAAATGCTCAGCTACTCTCTGGATCGGGTCCTGAGACTGCCGAGTAGGGGCCCTGAAAATAGTACTGCTCTCCCTACCTCACACCTTGTACAACCGGGACAAACCCGCCACGAAGCCAATTACCACACAGGGTGTAAGTCAGGGCAGGATTTAATAGCTGGCATCTGAACTGCATTTTTTCCCTGCTAGTGTCTGCTTTAGGTCATAAGCTCCTGGGGTCAGGGACAGCGTCTCCCTATTTATCTGCACTAAGCACACAGCTGTGGTTCTACTAATGAAACATTGTTATTTATTTGTGCAATAATCTTACTGGAGTGGTATCTGCATTCTAAGAATTACACTTCTATAGATCAGCCTTCATCACGGCAGAGGCAATAGGATTACAGCATCAAAAATGATAGGGCAATGGTCAGTTTGGGCCACTAGGGCAGGGGTGGGCAAACTACGGCTGGGGGGCTGCATCCGGCCCTCCAGACATTTTAATCTGGTCCTCGAGCTCCTGCCGGGGAGCGGGGTCTGGGGCTTGCCCTGCTTCGCATAGCTCCTGGAAGCAGTGGCACGTCCCCCCCTCCGGCTCCTACCCGTAAGAGCAGCCAGGGGCCTTTGTACGCTGCCCCCGCCCCAAGCACCGCCCCCACAGCTCCCATTGGCTGGGAACCGCAGCCAATGGGAGCTACGTGGGCGGCGCCTGTGGACAGGGCAATGCGCAGACCTGCCTGGCCACGCCTCTGCGTAGGAGCCAGAGAGGGAATATGCTGCTGTTTCTGGGAGCTGCTTGAGGTACGTGCCACCTGGAGCCTGCACCCGACCCCCCTCACGCACCCCTGCCCAAGCCCTGATCCCCCTCCCGCCTTCCAAACCCCTCGGCCCCATCCCGGAGCCCGCACCCTCACTCCCTGCCACACCCCAGCCCCCAATTTCATGAGCATTCATGGCCCGCCATACAATTTCCATATCCAGATGTGGCCCTCGGGCCAAAAAGTTTGCCCACCCCTGCACTAAGGCCTTGTCTACACTTGCCTGCTTGCCTAAGCCATGCCTCCCTGGCTACACTGCTATTCATACCCATGCTAGCTGGGCATGCAGTGTCTGTACTCTACACGCCATCCTAAGCATAGACCTCCCCTTAGAGGGAAGCAACTCGAACATAACAATACAGTCACAGAAGAGAAACTAATCTAGTCTCCCCGGCCAATGCAGGATTGTTCTCCCCAGTTTATTCTATCCATGGCTTTGTCCAGCCTGGAAATCTCCATCCTGACCAAAGCCACTAGACCTGCAGGTGAGGGAAAGTGTCTTTAAACACAGAGCAGCTCTTTCCCACTCTGGCAGGGAGGCCGAAGGTGACACAGCCACCCTGGCCTGTAACCCAGAGACAGGCAACTGGTCCCTGCGCACACAGCCACAAGCCACTGGGGTGGTCACCTCCTTTGTCAGCCCCTTCTTGTTAAAGACCAGGGTAGCCCGCAGTCTGCATTTTAAGCAAACATCCCCAGTTACTAGGAAGGAAGGAAGGACACCCATGAACATCCCTCTGTGGAATCACCTTCCTCTGAGCTCCTGGGGTGCGGGACTGGCCGCCAGAGCTGGGAGAGACACAGCCTTTGCCTGGGCAAATATGCCCTCAGGTTTCGATGTGCTGGGGGCCCAGCTCCAAAACTCAGCCACACACCCCCTGAGTTGTGCCAGAAGTTTAATCAGAACCACAAACGCGCCCCCCCCAAGCAGCTTTGGGGAGGAAGGTGGGGTCCCCAATCCCCCAGCCTGTGCTCTCCTAAAAGGCGCCCCCAAAGCTGCTGCCCAAGTTCTCCCACCTCAGCCAGCCTGGGGCATGGAAAAACAGAAACCCTCCTTCTAAGACACCAGCTCCTCCCTCCAACCCTATTCCTGCCCCAACTCCTTCCCCACTGCCTGCCCC